TAGTTGATCTGGTTCATACGGAAGTCAACGTGGTATCTGCGGGAAACGGTTCGTTGGCAGAATGCTTTACTCCTGTCAAATACTCCAATTTACCGTGTCCTTTGTTTCGTTGAGAACGTGTTCTTGCAGCGTTCTCTGTTCCATCGTGTTGACTCATAAAACATGACTCAATCTACGGATACTCTGAGTCGTGGGGGAACTGTAACGCTTTCACTCCCCTCAGTGGCGACTGTCGACCCTGAGTGTTCTTCCGAAATCCTTGGTATTTCCTGACCAAAACAGTAGTGCATTCAGCATAGCCCATACCGATGTATAGTCCCAGTGTTTGCTGAGGATATCTGCAGGGTTAGTAGATCCAGGGATATGATGAATCTCAAGATACTTGCAGCAACGCTTCCCTGGTACGGTGGTAGGAAAGCGCATGTGTCTTTTGAGAATCTTGAGTGTGGCATCGAGCGGTGTTGACTACCGTCTGGTTGTCTCCGAACATCATGGTCGGTGTGTCGACCAGTTCTCCTAGGTACCTGAACGGCTCCGTAGGTCAATGATTGTCAGTGGCGGTACGGCTGCAACATATCTCAGATTCGAACGTTGCGGTCTCGACTGTTGACTGTACTTGCTGAACCAGTCGAGGGATTTTGTTCGCTAGGTGTAGAACTCCGGTGACTGACCGTCCACTGATGAGAATCGTGATAGAGGTTCGCATCCACATATGTGGTGAGGAATGACCCGTTTGCCTCGAGGTACCGGTGCGTTGTGCGGCTGAACTTCTTTGGCACCATGGTAGCATGAGTATTCCATTCGTACTCTTTCTTGGAAATCGCTGAGTAATCCGTTCCTCCTTTCGTACGTATTATGCCGTGTCTCATCTTGGAAAGTACCCACAGATTCTCTTGACTCGATCCCTAAGTGACCCATTCTTGGTGCTGCCCGAAATCTGGACATCGTCATGTGTTGCCGTTGCGATTCGAACACTTCCAATTTGGATTGCCCATTGTGGACTACCGATGAGTGACATGATAATCTTTTGTGTGGGTCCTATCGAGTAGCTCTGTTGTGTCAGTCTCTTGGATGGTCTCCTTTGATGATGGAGATGAGGCTTGTTTGGCATGTTCCGAAGATCCTTGGTAGTTGCTGAGTACCTTCTCAAATATATTTGCGAGGTGCGTAAATCCAGTACTCCGTTCTCATCACGGAAGAAAACACATCCTAGGTGGAAGCTAGATGGCACCGGTTCCTCTTAAGTTTGAACTTGTGCTCCCCTTCCTAATGCGCGATGATCTTGATGTCGTCTTTGCTGACAATAAGGAGGTCGTCTACGTCACAGCGATGTATTCGTAGTTGCTCCCTTTGTCTCTCATCCATGTGTCTGATTCGGCTTTTGAAGGTAAGAATCCCATTGAACGATGAACATCTGCAAATCGTTGAGGCCATCGTAATCCAGAAGACTTGAGTCCGTATAGGGCTCGGCTGATGATGAGGGTGCATCCTCCTCGATCTCCAAACTCGGGCCTTGCGACAACGTACACCTTCTCATTCGTATATGATTCCAAGTAGGCGTTTCCAATGTCTTTTTCCCATACCTCACAATCATAGAGTTCTGCGAGGAAAAGTGAAAGGATACGATTCCCTCGTAACGAAACCATACTGGAATAGACGGAGTCTATTGGTGTATCAGTGAGATGTCCTTCAGCGACAAGTCGTGCTTTGTGTCGCCCATGGTGTTTGACTGCGTACACAATATGCACTCGAATCTTCATCCAATCTGGTCCAGGGTAATGTCCCTTTCCTTTGTTAATGAAGGTCTCGTACTCATCAAATCTGATTAAGTTCGAATCATACTCGGCATCTCTCCACTTTGTTTCTCCATTGCGTGCGTCTATTTCCATGGCTTGATCATGGTTGCGCGGAAATTGGAATCCGTACATGAACACGGGCTTGTTCCTGAAGGAGTGAAGTTTTGCCTGGTTAGCCGCTCGTACGAGTCCCTTTTGAGTCTTTGCGATCTTCTTGAGTCCTGGTAGTTTCCAGCCATCTGTGTCTAGTAGACCGTGCTCTTCCTCATAGATGGCGACCGTGACTGAATCAGACTCATATACTCCCATCTTGTCTTTAGTGGTAACTCCCCAAACCCCCATCTCCCCGGTTTCATTCACTTGTACGTGTACCAGTGAACCCTTGGTTGTTCTGTAGAATGATCGATGGATTGGTGATCCATGATCTTTCGGAACTTCCATGTTCCATCCCAATTTTGGTCTTGTTCAATGTGTTCCACGATATCGTTGTAGCCTACGATTTCCTCGTACTCGTCGTTAACTCTGCATTTGAACTTGATCATGTCGGGATGTTTTTGAACCTTCTCCTTGTGGTATTTGACTCTTCCAAGGATCTTGGCTCTTACTCGGGTTCCATCTTCTGCGGGTGGCATGAGAAAGTTTCTTTCTAACATCTGTTCAGGAGTAGTCCTGATTCGGTGGAATTGTCAGTCTTCATGTGCCGTTTGTTGAAGATAAATGGCTCCTCCGCACTAGATGATCCTTTTTCAGGCTCGTCCTTCTGATGGTTCGGGATGTTGTCATCATCGTCATTGACCGTTTCTACCTGGGCATCTCCCTGAGAGGCGGTTCGTCCATTGGTGTAGGTTCTTCTGGAGTGTTCTCCCCTATCTCCCTTTCTTCGTCATCGTCCGGAAGGTCAAAAGGGCTCTGTTCATGTCGATACCACGATCTTCGATTCCTGTACAACTAGCTTTTTTTGATCGCATCAATCAGCTCACAACACAGATATATTATACTAAAAGGAACTTAGATTTACCCTGCACTCGTGTCTGAATAGTTGCAGTTGTCTCGTTGCGGCGGTAGCTACCTCTAAAGATACTCTAACTCCATAGTAATGCCCACGTCAGCACCTTATCCTGTTCAGATTTGCAATTTTTTCTGGCTTGGTGTCACCATCATTATAAAATTGTCTTTTCTTTAAAATTTGAAAAAATCCCATCAAAATCAGGACCACAGGTTATCATTATAGGAGTCCACTTTCACGGCAACTCATGTTCTGAACATTGATATGAAACTATGATTTCGGGCTTCCATTAGGCGCCTATACCCCATTCCAATAACCAAAAACTGCAGTCTTAACAAAGGAGTTTCCAATCACGGGGAAAGCCCAGAACACTGTGCGTGGAAGTGGTATGGAGAGTACTGGCTTTCCAGTAAAGATTCAAAAGACTCGCAAACATATCTCGCCCCTTCATCTAGAAGCGCATTGGTAGGTAAGTCTGATTGGGAATTCTTGGCTTATTTGGAGGCAGGGATGACAGCCTCTCCTTCACCACAAGTCCTGACCAATAGGCAGGACAAGGTGCCTCGCAATCACGTCTGTGAATTGAAAACCTCTTCTGTTCCAGATTGGGAAGCAAGGTATGATGATTGGTTTGAAACAGTTTACTCTTCAGAAGATCAACCACCTCAGAGATGGACACAACATGTGCATCTTCCACGCTTCGAGACCCTTTGATGAAACACCACCTCCATTACAGACGAGTGCTTACCAAGAGGAAGGCCATAACCAACCCAGATCTCATCTCAGACTTCGAAATGGGGAAATTATGGCAAGGAGAAAAGAGCAAGAAAAGAGATCTACATTTTCAAGTCCGTCCCAGCACAGCCCAGGTTTCACACAGGAGATTCAGACCGCTGCCATTGCTTCAGACCCAACAATTGCCTTCTCTTGGACAAGGGAACCTCCATCGTCAACACTCCCACCACAGATGTTCCATCGAGGCAATCCCGTCGCTGCCCACGTCGGAATCCCAAAGGACAGCTCACAACAAAAACCTGAGATTTGAACATGGACCAAACTGAAGACTATGCACACACTTCACTCTGCTCATTGTGCTTTAGCAGACCTTGATCCTCCAATTTCAGGGCACATCTGCAAGCTCAGGTAACTGGTATTCACCCTTGACCAACACCAGGAATCATTTCATCCTGGCTTTCTTCAAAGCCCACTGGCTCTCAAGGCCAAAAATTCCAAGAGACCCTGATCTCCCACTCTGAAGGAATCTCTGATGGGACCCAATGCAGACCACTTCTGGGCAGCAATGGACAAAGAAATTGCCAGCCTTGAAGCAAAGGGACTTGCACATCGTAAACGTTCTTCTATGCCTCACACTCAAGGCAGTTCCAGGAACTTGGGTACAACGAATCAAGGGTAACCAAATGGCCAATTGATCAAGTTCAAATATAGATGGCTGCAGAGGTGACCTTCAGTCCTAATGAAGGCCCTCGCTATTCTCCACTTGTCGGTTGGCACCGTTAGGCCGGTCTTTTCTTGCAGCTGCCATGGATGGAATCGAGACAATTGATTTACTCTTGCTTCTGTCAAGTCCTCAGCCTGCCGATCAGCCATTGTACATGGAATTCTCAGTACTATGACCCAAAGATTATGAAGGACAGACTGTGTTTTGAAACTTGACAAGTCATCTATGGGCAGAACGATTAACCCAAATTATTCTATGAGCATCTATGTCGTCGGGATGATCCAACTGGTTTCGTAACCTCAGAAGCAGACCCCTGTTTTTTTATTCATAAGGAGCATCAACTCATGGTATAATATTGATGACCAAATTGGCCAGCCCGACAATTATTTGATTGAGTCCTATGTTGGACCAGCTCAGAAGCGATATACTCACCATGGAAAACAAGGGAGACATCTTTGGTTCCTGGTATTAATTTTGAAGACGGGAGACAGTGAATTGACTCAAGGGCTCATCACAGGTATTGAATACACTGGCATGTCTGAAGCCAGCTCTAAGCTTTCTCCTGCTGCCACCGATCGCTCGGCGCTGACAAACTGGGTGACCATTTGAAGCAGAGTGGGCTATCCAGCTGCGTTAGGATGCTGCTTTAATTGCATCCAACACTCGCCAGACATCAATTTAGTGTACACAGGTGCACGATCGGACCACCAGGCATTCCCATGCTCAGCCATCAAACGAATCTTCGCTACTTGATTGGCACAAGTACACAAGGCATTTTTTTCACCCTAAGCTTGACTCAAGGACTTGGATTGTTGGGTCAGTGCTGACTTCGCAGGGTGTATGGATAATGAGGATTCGATCTCAGTGATCGCTGTTTTCGAGTAAGGTCGCCGACTGGTTTTGTTGCTTGTTTGGTGCCCCTCTCATTTGTGGTCCAGCAAGCGCAGAACTGACATTAACTGAGCTCCACTGTGCTAGTATGTTGCCTTTAGCATGTCATGAGGGAGCTGCTTCCTATGCGAGCCCTTGCTCAAGGAAATTGGTAACAACAATGAATATGCCGTAATTATGAAGTCTAGTGCGCTTAAAGTGTTCGAAGAAAACCAAGGTTGCCTGTCTCTTGTCGAAGTTCCCAATGTCTGCGCCACAGTATTTGGCATTAAGAAAGTACCACTTCTTTAGTCCTCATATCGGGGAGTCAAAGGCATCGTGTGCCAGTCATTCGACTCTTAGGACAGTGGCCAGACATGTTTACTAGGGTCTGCAGCTCCACATTTTGCAGAGTTCGGTGAGTCTCATTCATGGGATGGTAATCTACTCAGCACGTTGCTGGGGACTCTCTCCTATTGTTTCTTGCTACAGCTTCATTTCAGCTGTAAGGGAGTGCGACGGGATACAGCTTACAATTCAGCTTTACAGCTTTATAAATTGCGGGCCTATTCTAGAAAATAATCAATAACTGCTCACTTATTTGGAAATACAAACTTTACATTCAATCCACAATGGTATTGTCGCAAAGTTTCCACGCTGCGGGGCGTGGAAACTCGGACGGGGGGTTCCCCAGGCGTGTTGCTGCTCAACACGGCAATCATTGATGAACTGGTCAAGCCTGCAAACGAACAGAGGCAAAAGCCGCAAAAGAAGAACGATACTCTAGAGCCGAGTGAGCTGGATGAGATGACCCCTTTCAAGCGACTGTTGAGGCAATCATTCCTTCGGCCACAGAATGATTACGATCGGAGTGCCGCTGCTATTGGTCATCGCAATGAAGAACTGTTAGTTGCTCTAAGCTCTCTTCTAGTTGTTACTGTTGCTATTGAGATACTACTGAAAAAGTGGGTGGGCTCTGTATGTATTTCTACTGGCATCAAATTCTAGTACAGAGGTACAGGTTGAATCCCTAATCGCGAATCCCCAACAAGAACCATTTTTGAAGGCCTTCTTTGAAGAATGCAAGAAGCAAGGGGGCAATCAAGCTTACTCATTCTCCGCCCTCAAACCGACAGCCATCTATCGAGTGGGTTTGATGCGGAAGAAAGGAAGCAAATTCGCAAAGGCGAGTTTGGATGCAGTGGCTTTCGTGAAAGACGACTATGATGATGAAGTGTTCCTACCAGTCGAGGTGAAAAGCAGAGTAGCGCAGTCAATGATGACAGAGGCCTCCGATCGAATTGAGGATGTAGTTGGCGTCGAGGAGTATAATCGAACTTCAAAGTACCTCGTCAGTGCCTCATCAAGCGACCCTCTCTTCAGGCTGCTTCTGCACGATGAAAACAACCCAAGACGGGAACAGCATGAATCGTTCCAGCTGTTGCATGGAGCCTTTGTCTCCGGGACGTCACGAGGACTGCTTCTTGTTGGGTCGGAGAACCGTCTAATGTATGGAGTCGATGTTACTTTTGAGGACTCTCTCTTGGACGCCTATACGGAGCTAATGAATCACTTCTACTTCTCCTACTTGAAGCCGTTCTACGAATACTCCACAACAGACCTGAATGAAAGGCTCGGTGCTACTCTTGGTCATGCAATCGAGGAGGTCGAGCATCTTGATGAGCACTCTTTCTGGACAAACTATGGGGTTTGGAGAGCACTCAACGTTGATGCTGAAATCAGCCAAGGAATATCTTTCCTGCTCCCGCCGGCAGCAAGATGCATTCCATTCCAGAATGCCTATTGGAATGCAATGAAAGGTCCTTCTGATACCACAACGAAGCTGATTGACAACGTCGAAGAGAAGCTTGGCATTCGAACACCTCGAAACATCGCAACGGCTCGTCTTCTAACAATCGGTGGTGTTGCCTTCCACAGGACAAACCAAATGATCAAGACGAAGCTCTCCAAGCACAGCACCATATTCAACGCTAGACATGCTGCCAACAACAGAGTGGATATGTCGCGAAGTATTGACATGCTCATCCGTTGCATGGAGCAGGAACGGTCTGGAGTTAGTGCTGCTGCTGCGACTGCATCCAACCGCAACACTCGTCCTCTCATTGTTGCACCGGAAACGCCTCCCAAACGATTTCGACGAGGGTATAAGGAGTCGGCAAAGCTTGGATGGGCTGACAGTTTGCAAGCTGGCTACACCCCCTACAGAGGACGAGCTCTCAACGATCTCCACCAAGAGCGAGAGAGAGCTTGTGATGGACGAGTTCTGATGATCCGAGTTGCTGATCCGAATGCTGCTA